CCGTCAGACTAAGGCCCAGAGGCACATCTGGAGAATGACTGAGTTGAAGAAGGAAAATCTCTGCTCAGAAATGAACTATTCCTAGGATGTTGCTTCGTGAGTCTTTGTTGCAGAAATTGGGATTTGAATAGGTAATTGGGAATCAGGAAACAACCCTTCCCCGGGGACAGTTGCAGACAATTCCAGAACCACCTGGCTTAACTTGAACTCTTGGAATTGTCCTGGTTCAATCAAAGCTTTCACACAAGCCTTGTGGTTCTGCTCTTTATCCCCCAATTTTCCTCCCAGGCTTATGAATAAGGCTTCAGTCTTATTTCTTTCCCCAAGACTGTCAGGCAGCCCCACCTACGGGGACGGGAGGCAGGATGCTGAGGACACCGTGGCAGTCTTCTGCCACCTGCTGGTCCTCCTGTCCCCTGCTCCAGCTCCTCCGGGCTGACTTTGCAAGGATTCCAGGGAATGGAAACCACCAGGAGAGAACCACATGCCTGGCAGAGAACTGTCCTGCTTTTACTGAATAACAAAGAGATGAGAATACAGCAAGCAGAGGCCGGCAGAAGAGGGCTTCCTCCTCATGGGGGGTAGTGTAAAGATGTGACCATCACAGACAGCTAGGATATTTCCACGCAGGCTGTTTTGCTCAGAGAGTACATAGAAGTGCTTTTTTGAAAATGTATTTTATTTTTAGAGTATTGCCTCACAAGGCTGATCTAAGTTAATGCCCCATCTCTATAAATTCATTTGCCAGGAGTGGCAGCAGCCCATGCCGGTGGGGGCGGAGGTGAGTGCAGAGAGTCAAACGGGGGTGGGGGTCACTTCAGAGCGAGCGACACTGCTCTTCAGTCACTTCCCGCGTTGTGTCTTGAAGACCTACTGTGTCCAAGGCTCTGCCCATGTGCCTGGGATATAAGTGAATGCTATTGAGTGAGAGTGCCCCCTACCTCTCTCTCGGAGGTCACAGTCTATGGGGAGCAGCTAAATAAATTGACTTCTAGATGAAGGAACATGCATCAAAATCCCAGCAGGCTTCAGTGTTGGAGAGAACTCCCTGGAGGAGGTGACGTGAGCAGAGTTTTGAACATTGTGATTTTGGGGGTATTCCCACTACCAGAACCCCATTCTTATACACAGCAGCACCCACCACCATGCCTCAAGGAGCTGAGAACCAGATACAAAACAGAAGAAAATTGTTAAGACACTGGGCTTCAGACAGCAAACAACCCATTCAGTCCGGGGAGGTGAGCAGAGGCAGACCCAGCAGGAGGGCAGCATGAGGAGCCCTGGAGATTAGACAGCAGGGTTGGGAGGGGTCTCTTGTCCAGGAGGTGTAAGTCACCCTCAAATGTTCCGAACCTTGAGGGCAACTTCTTCTCTCTGAAACTCCTGTGACTGGCTGGGGATGCTGCGTTAGCTGTGAGCTCACGGTCATCATCTGCAGTCTTATTTACATTCCTGAACATGATGACCCAGAGCTGGGAAATGCTCAGGAAACTGTAGGAGCCTGCCAGGAAACCATCAAAGAGCCATAGAAAATGGCATTTCTGAATCAGAGAACCTGTTAAATGCCTTAAAACACAGTCAGGCTCCAAACTCACAGAAAAAGAATACTCAGAAGAAAGACATGCAAAGCTCCTACTGTGTTTCCCCCAAAATAAGACCTACCCCCAAAATAAGCCCTAGCAGGATTTCTATGCATTTGTTAAATATAAGCCCTACCCCAATAATAAGACCTAGTGATGGGCAGATACGCTGCATAGCCACGCCATGCATTTCAGCGTGGAGCAGTAAGAAAGACTGGAATACCTTTTATCTGCCACAGCTCCTTTCTCCAAGCTGTTCACCCTTGTGTGGGTGTGCGTGTGGTAACCACGGTCACAGGCATCCTATAATGCACATGCAAATGCCTAGGGGAAAGGAGTTCACGCATCACTACCGCTGGCCCCACCAACAAGGTCTGCTCCCCCATCAGCTTCCAGAAGATGATGACTTAATTGTATTTGGATAAATGTAGATTGTTGTATTATACTTAATTTTTAAAAAAAGGCATCCCCTGAAAATAAGCCCTAGTGTGTCTTCTTGAGAAAAAATAAATATAAGACAGTGTCTTATTTTCAGGGAAACATGGTAGTAGCTAACGCTGCTGTTTCCCTCTGTTGCTTGTGTTTGATGTAACGTTCTCATATTACTTTTATAATGATTTTTTCAATATAAAGAAGCTAAAGGTGAAAACTGTGTGCTGATTGAGGCAGAGGCAAAAATCACCCTAACCAAACGGTGACCCTGTTTATGTGTCTGTCTCTGCTATTCTAGATTCCACTCCACACCACCCAGGTGTGTTTCAGCCCGTGTGTTATATTAGCTATGCCTGTCGAGTCTGTCCTCAGCCTTCCCCTTGCCCATGCCCCTCCTTGTTCCCTGGGCCTATGGGACAGATTGTGATGTCTGTCCACTAATTTTGCTGTGACTGGGGCTGGTGTCTATTTGGTGATTCATGTTTGTTCCGAGTCGTACATCTGTGTGGGGTGCTTTGAAATGGTGCCCCAAGGGATATGAAAGGCCATTTGTCTCCCTAAGACTGCCTCTTTGCCCCAGAGACCCCTTCCCTGGCTTCTGAATTCCAGCAGGCTCTCCCTCCCCTGGAGTTCAGGCAGGGGAAGGAAGAAAAGGAGCACCTGGGGAGGGGGTCGGAGTCAGAGCCTAGTTCCAGTGGACGGGGCGGGACGGAATGTCCTGGGTGCTCACACCAAAGACAGAATGCCTGTGGCAGTCACTTTAAGAGGAATCTTTACAGACCCACCCTTGCCCTCTAGGGTGCCTTTAGCAAAGAAGAGAGTAGGGTGAGCACTGGTGGAGACCAGTGGAAAAGGCTCTGAGAGCTTGGTGGGCACGCCCCTCGGCACCGCCCCTGAGGCTTCATCACAGACCCGCACAGCAGTGATACTCACGATGCTTAATGACCAGGGCTGTGTGAGGCACACCAAATGGCCTGGCTGCACCCACCAGTTAAAGGTGAGCCCCGCCATTGTGCTTCCCAGACACCAACCTTTAGTTACCGGATCACCAGCAAGCCCAGCACATCCTGGAGGGCCTGGGGCAGCAGCTGGAAGCCAATGTTAAAAATGTATTGCAATGTTTTAATATCCGTAAGGCCATGTGGACACACACAAGATGAATAATCACGTGAGTACACGTGGCTTTAGAAGCTTGTGCCCACTGTTAGCTCTGCGTGATCCTACCTTCCCATTTGTGACCAGGGCGATGTGGACTTGTAAGGAATGGGGTGGAAGACTTGGTCTCCATTGCTCTGCAGGCTGCTGCTCGCCTGTGACTTTTGATAAGCTTTTTGCATCCGTCTATCAATCGTCTTGCATACTTTACAGAGTTGTTAGGAGAAAGTAGAATAATATATCAAGAGAAAAAGCACTTTGTCAATTAAAGAAATATAGGAAAAATCCACCCAAAGAGAGCAGTTGTAAGAATGAGTGAGAGGAAAGAACCAAGACTATCGATACGGGTGATGGTGGCTGGATGAGCATAAAGGAAGCTTTCTGCTGGGGTCTGACTGGGAAGGGAGCCCCAGCCCAGCCCCTCCCCAACACCTCTGCAGAGCTTTGGCTGGGACCCCTAAGTGCTCCTGAAAAATGCAAAAGAAGAGACTTACTGCCAGTGTGAGGCTGAGACGGGTGGCGTGTGCAGGGAAAATGCCTGTGGGACCACAGGAGTGTGACACGGGCACAGCGGCCAGGGTCCAGCAGGATGGGGCAAAAAGAGAAAGACGTGATCTCTGCTCCTGTGCGTGTTCAGTGGTTGGGGCTTGTTCAGGGACTCCGGGCTCAAGGCCCCTCCTCCAAGTGTGAAGATGGATGGGAAGTTTCATGGCACTTTTCTGAGGAGCCAGAGCTCTGCAGCCTTGGAGAGCAATTTGGTGTCATCAGATTAATTAAGTCATTTTCTGTGGTTAAATTTTCATCTGAATATTACATCTCAGGCTGGGCCTCCCACAGACTCAGCCAGTGGAGGTTTTCTGGTTGACATTTTTCCCTGAAACATTCTGGAATATGCGTGTGTTGTCATTGATGAGGCTGCGATGTATTTATTTATGGAAGAAATTTTCCAGCTAGGGAGACTCACTCCGGGATGGTTCAGTCTGACAGCTCAGCTGTGCCCAGGCCCCCTCTGGAGTGTCTCGTCATGACCAGGTCACTTTATCTTGTCTTAGATTCTGAGTGTCTCACTTAGGACACTGCAAGGCCATGAGTTTGCTCCTGGGTTCAAGTTCTGGCTGCACCATCTGCTAGTGGTGGACTCATGGCCAAGCTTCAGTGGGACTAAGTTTCTGTGTACACAGTGGGAGTGATAGTGACCTTGACTCAGAGGTGTTTTGAAGATTTGAACTTCCCATAGTGTATAAAGTGCTCAACATGGTGTGTTCCTCATATCAGTCCCAGTGTGTGCCGCTGTCCCCTCATATCAGTACCAGGGTGTGTCACGTCCCCTCAAATCAGTCCCAGTGTGTGTCACTGTCCCCTCAGATCAGTCCCAGTGTGTGTCTCCTGTCCCCTCATATCAGTCCCAGTGTGTGTCACTGTCCCCTCATATCAGTCCCAGTGTGTATCACTGTCCCCTCAGATCAGTCCCCGTGTGTGTCACTGTCCCCTCAGATCAGTCCCCGTGTGTGTCACTGTCCCCTCATATCAGTCCCAGTGTGTGTCACTGTCCCCTCAGATCAGTCCCCGTGTGTATCACTGTCCCCTCAGATCAGTCCCCGTGTGTGTCACTGTCCCCTCAGATCAGTCCCAGTGTGTGTCACTGTCCCCTCAGATCAGTCCCCATGTGTCTCCTGTCCCCTCATATCAGTCCCAGTGTGTCTCCTGTCCCCTCATATCAGTCCCAGTGCGTGTCTCGTGTCCCCTCATATCAGTCCCACTGTGTGTCCCCTGCCCTGGTGTGTGTCCCCTCAGTGGACCTCCTATAACAGAGTTTCCTGCTTTCTCTTTAAGCTTCGATGTGGAAAATGGCCCTTCCCCAGGCCGGAGCCCGCTGGATCCTCAGGCTGGCACCTCCTCGGGGCTGGTACTTCACGCCACCTTTCCTGGGCACAGCCAGCGCAGAGAATCCTTTCTCTACAGATCAGACAGCGACTATGACTTGTCACCAAAGGCGATGTCAAGAAATTCTTCACTCCCAAGCGAGCAGTAAGTATGAGCCTGCCAGGCTCCCAGCCTCACACTCACCTCCTCTCTGACCCTGTTGGGGCAGCAGCAACCATTGTCCCCTGTACCCCATGGGAAGGGAGGAGAAAGATGAAGTGACAGAGATGACAGTGATGGCCATCTTATGGACAGTAATACTCTATCTTGAGGAACATGTGGCTGGGACTCCCAAAGTGTTAAATACCTTAGGTACGGTGTCCAGTTTATATCTGTTCCTGGCACTTTTTAGAAATTTTCATTTAGCTTCATTTCCTGAACTGCTGAATCATTTGCAAGATGAGAATCTTAATATCTTAACACTTTTTACAGATCACAGTTGAATTTTGGGCTGTATGTGCAGTTTGCATGAGGCTCCAGCAGAGAGAAAGATGGTGGTTGGTCACACGTGTCCTGTCTCGGTGGCCTTTGCTCGGTGACATTTATTAAGCTGTCATCCAGCCGCAGGCCTGTGTTTCTTCTCTGGACTTTAACACAAGGCCCACTTGTTGCCTCTGTAGCCCTATTAAGCATAGCTGTTATTTTTGTTTTGCTGCAATTAATTGTAAATCTTCTATTTTTATTTAAAGAACAAGGCCAGGGTTGTGTCACTTGTTTATTACATTTTTTAAAATCAAATAAAATTGGGTGCTGGAATTCATGCTTTAAAAGGTTTCTGGGCACACATACAATTGGCTTTCAATATTATATGTTATAAAAGTATCAGTAACTCCTATAGTCCACAGCTTGGAAAACTCCACTGGGTCCTCTCCCGCAATTGGAAAGAAAGCCAACTGTTTTACCCTCTCGTGAAAGGGGAAGTGGGCATTTTAAAGCTACTAGCAAAAGAATATTCCCCAGGGCAATTTTTTTTTTTTTTTTTTTGGAGACAGAGTCTCACTATATCGCCCTTGGTAGAGTACCGTGGCCTCATCCCCAAGGCATTTATGTGAGAAAATTTTAATAGAAGCACCCAGCCTTAAAATATCTCCATCATTACGTGGGCCAACATTTAATTTTTTTTCAGTCATTTGTTAAATATTTACTGAATCTCATCTGTGTGCCATGCGTGGTGCCAGGCTGTGGTAGATGAAAGATAAAACAGGATAAGAATCACAGAGGATTTATGAGCAGATCTCTTACTCACAAACTCCAGGGTGCTCAGGGAGGCAACAGTTAAATAAGAAAGACGGGAGGGTGCACCCACACAGTTCCACGTGGAGGACACTGGAGAACCATGGGGAGGTTCTCTCCAGTGGTCTCTGTTAATCTCACAGCAGTCCTGCCGGGTGGACACCATTATGATTCTCCACTCCACAGACGATGAGTTTGGGGCTCGGAGACACTGAGAAACTCACCCCACCCCATGACTGTGTCTCATGCTGGGTCCTGGGGTGTGGCTAATGATGGCCACATTCACAATTCTGTTTTGTTTTGTTTGAGACGGAGTCTCCCTCTTTTGGCCGGGCTGGAGTGCCTCCTGGACTCTTTTTTTCTGTTCTATAAGCTGCAGAGTAGCATCTCCTCCACCAGGTAGAAACAGGTAGAAACCCAGGCCATTTCTGATGAAGGTGTGGATGGGGCTTTGGTAGTCAATGTTCTGGGAATTCTCTTCCCTACCAAGTTCAAAACATTTATTTCTACTCCAGATTTCGTAGTGGGAGTGCACAGGTAATTCGATCCTTACTCATGTAGTATCTTGAAGGTAAAAGGCTGATCATTCTCCAAACTAATTTTGGAAGTGAATCTCCAAACTAATTGCCCAGTGAACAGTCCCCAAACTCATGCCAAACAGTGTGACAAAATCACAGGGTCGTTTAGGTCTCCCCCAAACACTAACCAACTTCCAGATTAAACTCTGATGTTTCCTTACTTGGAATTAAAAGGTAATAGAAATTTCAAACGTGAAGAGACCTTGGCAATCACAGTCCAACTCAGTCTGAACACAGAGCTGTGGTTCTCAGGCCTCTTCACCCGGCTTCCCTGCTCCCGTGGTTCACCCTCCTCTAAAAACGTTCTCCCTAACTGAGACACGCACAGTATTGCCAGCCTTAAATTTAGGTAAGTAAAGATTATTTATGTAAATTATCTAATATCATGCTCACTTTTTAAAAATAAGAACTTAAAAAATAGTGGGAAGGGCCACACTTTTATAATCAAGAGCAGCCTTTCCCAAGAAGACTCTGTTGGCAGTGTAATACGACCTTATCAAAAACGCTGATCATGGGAATAGATCAACATTTTTTGTGAATAAAAATAGCACAGGATTTTGTTTTGAAAATATTTCAGCATCATAGCAAAAAAAAAATTTTTTTTTTTTTTTAGAGACAGAGTCTTACTTTATCACCCTCAGTAGAGTGCCATGGCGTCACAGCTCACAGCAACCTCCAACTCCTGGGCTTAGGTGATTCTCTTGCCTCAGCCTCCCGAATATCTGGGCCTATAGGGACTTGCCACAATGCCTGGCTATTTTTTTTATTGCAGTTTGGCTGGGGCCAGGTTCAAACCCACCACCCTCGGTATATGGGGCCAACACCCTCCCCACTGAGCCACAGGTGCTGCCCCACAAAAACTTATATATTTGTCAATTCAGGAATTTATACTTCTCAAAACAACAAGCATTTGAATAATATCTAGGGCTTCTGGTATTAAATGTTATCAGCACCATGTTGGAAAGTGCAATTTCACACAGGCATCTGGATCTCAGCCACAGTTGTGCTCTAAAAGCTGTTTCACCTGATTGCTATTCTTTGGGATAAAGTGAAGTAAACAGAAACAGTGGCTTCCAAGCTCCCCACTGCATCTCCTGCCTTCTACTTGTGGATTCAGAAAAAGGGTGAGAACAAGCCAGACTGATGCAAGGCCACTTGGTGGGAGCTGCAGGATATACTCTTCTCTGGAGGGCCCCACATCCAGCACAGAGCAGTCGTGGTGATTGATTGGTTGATTGATTTTTTTTTTTTGAGACAGAGTCTTGCTCTGTCATCCTCGGTAGAGTGCCCTGGCATCAACTTTATTTATAGCAACATCAAACTCCTGGGCTCAAGTGATCCTCCTGCCTTAGCCTCCCAAGTAGCTGGGACTACAGGCACCTGCCACGACACCCAGCTAGTTATTCTATTTTTAGTAGAGATGGGGTCTCACTATTGCTCAGGCTGGTCTCAAACTCCCAAGCTCAGGCAATCTACCCACCTCAGCCTCCCAGAGTGCTGGGATTACAGGTGTGAGCCACCTCAACTGGCCAAGGGATTTTTATAGAAGGTGGAAAACTTTGCATAAATCCTAGTAATAGAGGAAAAGCTGGCTTTTAGAAATTTCTGATCTGAACTCTTTCAGAAGAGTAAGAGGAAATTATAGGCAGGGGAAGAGAGAGTGAAAAGACATTAAGAATAAAAATGCGAACAGAGAAAAAAGTGTCTTTAACTTTGAGTAATAAAGGAAACATGAAATAAGGCTTTCTAGTACAAACAACCTCCCTTGGATCCCAGAAGGAGATGCTGAGGCCTCCCTGGGTGTGGTGACTCCGGGTGGGCTCTGCTCAGGCCTGTGCTAAGGTCAACTGTCCCATGGTGCCCTCGTGTCCTGAGGTGCACATTTCCTCATGGGAGCTCAAAGCTCTGGATACTGGTGAGGTCAGTTTTATTGCCCCAAACTGGCAGGAACCACCAAGGACAGGATGGAGCTTTGGTCACCCACCTGCAAAGCTCCAGGGAAAGGGTTTCACGGTTTTTCCCAGGTAGATTGTCCTACCTGTGAAGCCCCTGAAGATAAGGAGCTCTCCAAAGACAAGGCTCAGTGGTCTCTAAAGAGATCAGTCAAGGGAGATGTACCTGAGAATCAAGGTAAAAAACAGGAGTAACAGCTCGCTTACATTTAAGACCCGTTTGACTATCAAAAAAAATGGGGTGCAGTTTGTAAGATTTGAATTAGATATACAACCATTGCACTTCCTAGAAGGGTGGGTTTTAAGACATTGAATCTTTTTTATTGTCTCTAAAATATCTTTTTTCTTTTTTTTTTTTTTTTACATTTTTGGCCAGGGCTGGGTTTGAACCCACTACCTCTGGCATATGGGGATAGCACCTTACTCCTTTGAGCCACAGACACCGCCCATCTAAAATGTCTTTAAATAAGGCATGTGTGTATTGTATATTTTCCACCTGCTGTGTATGATTTAAAGTACTTTGCGTATATCAATCCCTGTAATTTCCATGTGCCTGCTGTGGTAGATACTGTAACTTCCTTGGTTTAAAGATGAGAAACACATGGATTGAGTGAAACTGGGTAACTTCCAGTAAATGGGAACCAAGGCTTGAACCCAAGGAGTCCAGGTGGTGAAACATAAGAAGCAAGGATCAAATTCATTCTCTCTTTTAATAAATATTTACTGAAATTTAGGCACTTTGTTAACAAATAAGATGGTTTCTGTGTCTTCAAGGGCACTAAAAGATTTGTAAGTCAAGGGGCAGGTTTAATGGCTCCAATGAGGGAGCTATGGGGAGGTGCCTGGGGCTTGGAAAGGTCTGGCCAGAGGGGCCAGCAGCCACTTTGAGGAAGTTACAAGGTGGCCAAGGAGCTGAGTGGGCCAGAGGATGCACTGGAGGAAGGCCATGTGCTGACCCTCTGGTTGTGGGGCAGCATGTTGGGGACCCAGAGCTCAGCATGGGCAGGCAGAGAACATGAGGGGAGAGGCAGTGGTGAGCAGGGAGCAGGAGGGAGGGCCGGAGCCGCACCATGAAGGGTCTGTGCTGAGAAATTGACCTTAGCGCTGCAGACAGCAGTGGGGAGCAGCTACAAGCTTTCAAGCAGGAAAATATGTAATCAGGTACATTTCTGAAAGATAGCTTTGATTGCAGTGTGAAGAATGGTTGAGAGGGGGATGAGCCTGTGACTAGTCAGGAGCCCCCGGAAGGCTATGATCTGCGGAGTAGGGGACAGGATGTGCTTAGCCCAGACTCAGCAGCAGTTCAGACACAGCTGCATGCTAGGGTCACCAGCCGCTGGTGGATGATCATGGGGAGAGGTGAAGGGACATTTCAGGCACCATTCCCTGGGATCATGTGAAGTAGTGTGTATGGAAATGCCATGTACACTGTGTGTACTAAGGAGCCCTCTCCATCGCAGTGGGGGCAGGTGTGAGCACCTTGAAGACTCTTTCACCAGCAACCCTCTAATTCCTCATGCTCCCTGACTAACAGTGGGGTGATGACCTGACAGAGCCGTTCTAACTGAAAATGTCCTTAAGTCAACATCCCTCTGGCACGCCTCACCTGCCAGACATCACGGCTTAGCCTGTCCTGCCTTGGACATGCCGAGAAGGCACACACCGCCCCTAGTCGGGCAAAATCACTTAGCATGAAGCCCGTTTTGTAAGTGCTGAAACTTAGCACTGCAGCTGAGAGACAGACCAAACCGTCTGGCTGCAAACCTGTGTTCTGAAACACTCTGACACTCATCTCCTTATGTGAGAGGCTAAAATCAGCTACAAGAAAAATAAAAGTGAAATTCTGTGCCCAGCGAAGGAGCAGACAAAGGTGGAATTAATTAATAAATACAATGTAGAGCAGGCGTCCTCAAACTCGGACATTTATCCGGCCCACCAGGTGTTTTTGCCGCTGCTGCCTGTCCTGCTTAGCAGCCGACTTGTCCCAGGGCCCGCAGTCCGTCCCTCCAACGGTCTCAGGGACAGTGAACTGGCCCCTGTTTAAAAAATTTGAGGACCCCTGATGTAGAGTGTAGGGTGAAAAGCAGGATTTCTGCCTTCTGGAAACTGTTGGTTGTTTAGAGCAGACTATTCTGAGACCCACGCTAGTGCCCAGCTGGTCTGCGAGCCTGTGCTGTGCTGGTTCTGCCACCAGATGTCGCCCGCGCAGCGGCCCCGGGTCCCACCTGCTCCTGGGCCGGCTGCCTCCTCCCGCTCCGGAGGTTGAGACACGCAGGTTTTCATCATCAACCACATGTTTTGTTGATACCATTTGATTCTTAATCAGTAAGTTATGGAATTATGAATTCAAAACTTAGGAGTAGTTCCGTAAACAATCTGGCCACACTCAGAAGGGAGGTTTTTTGTTTTGTTTGTTTCTCTCCTGCCACTTTCCGCAGAACCCCAGAGTTCCTCTCCCAGCCGCGTCTGCTGCACACTCCACACTCCCGCAGTTCAGAGCCGGGAGCGAGCTGGGCCCAGGCTCCGCAGCCCGTCCCTGCGTCAGCCTGTGCTGTCCTCCTCGACTCCGACAGGCCAGTCCTGTCGCTGCTGTGCCCCGTAAGGTTTATTGACCTCCCTTAGACCTTCTGTTGTGCAGTTTCAGTGAGTCCCCGACTCTGGGCATTCGTCTGCTCAGGGCACGATGTATGTCTGAGGCCTGACTGTTTAGACTTGACTGGAAATGCGGGGGCCACAGCAAACCTGCTAGACTCTAAACCAGAGGTTCCAATAATTTAATTGTCAGCTATGTAGCATCATCATAAAGTAGGAAGCCTGGTGCTTAAAAGCACAGATTTTTGGAATCTGACCGTCCAAGTTCTCCCCTTGCTAGTGATGTGTGAGTTGAGTAGCTGCTTAACTGCTCTGAGGCTTGACATCATCTGTAAAATAGGAATATTAAGAGAACGTAACTCCCCTGCAGTCCAGCCTGGATGACAGAGCAGGAACCCTGTCTGTAAAACAGAATTTTAAAAAGACCACCTGTCTCACAGCCTCGTCCTGAGAGGTGAGTGAGATGATGAGTGCAGAGTGTCAGCACAGGCTTGCCGCACGGTGAGCTCACCAAGAATCCTCACTCTGTTAGTATCCCTCTTACTGTCACCATAAAAAGCAGCCACACAAGAAATTGGCTACTTTACATTGAGTAGAACTTCTAGCTAAAGACAAAGGTGGGAAGGAAAATGTCATATTAGATAAGACCCCAGTCCACAGCCTGTGCTGGGGCAGAGGCCCAGGTGGGTGAGTGCGCTATTCAGCTTGGACCCCACATCGCCTAGTGTCTGCTCGGGGCAGGGGCCTCATCATTATCAGTCACACCCGTAGTTAGCAGAGGAGGTGCCATGTTTGTGTGACAATCGTGAGAAGGGGTGGGGGCAGACAAGGAGGGAAGCTTGGTGTCATCGTCTGACCCGCTGTCGTGACTCACTGAGACGGCACATGGTCTGATTCTGTAACTGAAGCTCAGGCCGACACGTCTTCCATGACCTTCGACAGTGTGCTGAGTGTGGGCTTAGGCAGACTGATGGAAGCTTAGATGGATGGGCTCAGATAGACTGATGAGAGAGGGAGAGAGAGGGAGAGAGACAGAGAGAACGGGGAGGGGAGGGGGAATTTCTGAAAATATCCTTTGACTTTCTCAGCATTGCAAAGTAAATTGCAGTGGTATGGCTATAGTAGGTTCAGTGCTTGACAACCATTAAAAGCTTTTCCTTGGGTACTTAAAGAAAAAAGTTATATGAAAAACAAAAAGTAATGGGATTTCCAGATAGAAATCTGTGTTCAAATGGCATTAGAGCTGTGGTTCAAATCAACAAAAGCTAGGAAATCCCAAGTTAACCTTTTTCCAGACCGTTACACCATTTTTCCGACTGTGTGTGTCCCCGTGAGCAACCCTCTCTCTAAATTTCCTGACTCTGGCAACCAAATCCACAAGTTGCTTTGAATTACAGAGCTCTGGGTTTGTTACTCAGTGGGAACATACCCTAAGGATATGGGCTTATTTGCAAATGATTTTACTTGTAGTCACCATGAATCCAGGAGCGATGAATCTGGTACTATTGTATTTTTTCCTTCCAGCCGTTTGGGTCCCGTTTATGCCTGGTTGTGAGTTCTGCCTCAGACCCCAGCAGGGGACTTGTATAACATTCGTGTCGCTAACCTTGACAGAGCTCCACCTTACACGTTAATGTCACAGTTATGATTCAAGTGCGTTTCTAAATGTTCCTTTTCTCTCTTCTCACCAGACATGGCGATGACTTGATTGTAACTCCCTTTGCTCAGGTAGGTCTGCTGGCCCCGGCTCACTCTCCCTCTTCTAAGCGTGATCTCTGACCCTAGAACTGTGCCTTCTCTAGTCGGTCACCATTTGAAACATTTTCTTCCAGGTCCTTGCCAGCTTGCGGAGTGTGAGAAACAACTTCACTGTACTGACAAACCTTCATGGAACAGCCAACAAGTAAGCAGTGACTTTTGTGAGTTACAAGTCCCTTCCCTAAAGTTAAAACGTACTGAACAACATTTTAGGAAAATGATGATTGCACGGAAATTTGTCCTCCAAGTTAGAAGAGAATACACAGTAAAATTTTAAAACAGGATAGAGTACTATAGTAGTTTAGAACTGGCGAGACCTTAGAAGTTATCTAGTCTGGGTCTTATTAACCTTTGTGCTTATAACACTTAGCACACAGCAGGAGTTCAGCATATGAAAGACTAGGATTTTTTTGGTTCACTTTTATATTTACCACGTTGGTCAGTAATAACCATAAATTCTACTAAGTCTTTTTGAATAAGCTATGAATAAATTCAAATATTCAAACTTAAAGGTTCCAAAAAGTTCAAACTCAAGTTGCCTTTTTATGGATAACACATAAACAGGTTTCCACAGTTAATGAGTAGAGTGGAATTGTTTCCTCGGCCGTTAACTGCCTGATCTGGGTCACTTCAGTCAACATTGCTGATCCTTGATCTTCTTTGACCGGAAAATAAAGAATTTGAATTTGGCATTCCCTGCACTAACTTTCTTCTCCAAAATCGGTTACTTTACAAGCCTGATCTAAGCACCGTGCTGCTGGCCCCTCCCCTCGTCTGCACGCTGGGAAGGACCATGCCAGGGCTCGGGGCTCCCAGAATCCTTAATCCTGGAATGTTAGGGCTGGAAGAGGCCTTGGGGATCATCAATTCAGCCTCTTTGTTTTACAGGAGAAACCTAAGTTCAGAAACCCAGGGACTTGCTAACAACCATGCCACAAGCTAGAGACTTTCCAGAGCCCGAACCTACACCTCTTGATTTTTCTCGCCGGTGTTCACTGGACTGCCCTGTCTCTCCGACGTTTGTGAAGTTGCCCTCAATCCACTGTTTGGCTTTCTAATTTTCTAATTGAAGGAGAGTGTAAGCAGGCTGTCGGGAGTGCCTGCTTTCCCTGTGACCGTCCTGTCACCTGCTGCGGGGCCTCCTGGTGGGTGACTCTGGTGCTAGTCTTTCCTGTAGAAGGTCTCTCTCCTCATCTTTCCTCCAAATTACCACCAGCATGATCTTTCCCACTTGCTGTTAGATGTGTTGCTCTCAGTCTAAGGCATTTCTCTGGGTCCTCTGTGATTGCTGAGATAAGTTTAAATGCTGGTTCTTGGCCCCCATGGCCTTTCATGACCCAGCTCCAGCTAACCTGATTGACAGCTGATTAGGTTTATATTTAGTGCAATCGAAATATAGATTGTATGTGAAAATCTAGAGGCTGCCCCAGCCTCTCCTTGTTCATTTATTTATTAATTTATCTAACAAGTATTTATTTAGTGCATACTATTTATCCAGGCATGTACGTAAGTGTTTAACAAATGTTTTCTTAGTGCCTATACTTTATACCAGGCACTGATGATGTAATAGTAACCCAAAAAGACAAGTCCTCTGCCCAGTAGGATGTGCTGGGGGACATGGTGCTGAACCCAGACCAGTGCTCTGTCCACATGGGAACACATTCCAGGGTCCTGGTCTGTTGTTTCCTGTGTGGTCTCCCCCACCCAAACACGGACCTCCCGTTCTCTCTGCTGAGAATGTCTCTGTCCACCTGCTGGTGTCCGCTTGGTCAGATGCTGGTTGACATTTATGATTCATCTCTTGAATCACCTTCACCAAGACGCTCTCCCTGACCCACCAAGTCTGGCTGAATGGTCCTCCTTTGGCCCTACAATACTCTGGAAACTTTATCACATTCTTTCTGGATCTCTCCCACCACTAGACTTCATGTCCTTTAAGAGTGAGAATTGTGTTAATTTTTTCCTTAAATTTCCAAGAATTAACAGAAAGCTTGAAATACAGTTATGCTCCCTAAGTATTGATCATACATATGTTGGGAGAAAGACTATCAATTACTTTTTAAAGGAAAAAAATCTCTTCCTTCTCCCTGCCTTTTTTCTTTACAGAATCTGGCCTCCTGAGTCATACTCACTGGCTTTATAACCCAGTTCTACCACTTGAAAATTATGTACTTGGGCAAACTGACTATGGTCTCTGTGTCTTAGTTTCCTAATGTATAAAAGAGAGTTGTTGTGAAGATTAAACGAGTTGATGTTTGTAAAGTACATACAATAGCACCTAGCACAGAGCAGGTGCTGAATAGAGGTGAGCTATTATCATAGTTACGCTTTTCCTGCTGCATTCAGAGCAACGTAACACTGAGGCTTTCACAGGCATCATCTCAGTTAAAGGTACTATAAATGACATTCACGACAGTGCTGTACCCCACTCTGTGGATAAGGGACAAATCTCAGGGAGGTTAATGGACTTGTGCACAAGGATACCTCATCTACTCACGCCCGAAACTGGCCACCTGAACTCACACCACAGGGCCCTTCCCATCCCTGCACCTGTGAAGGTTTCACTGGAAGGGTTTGGAACAGAAAAGCATTTAGGAAGAATTTTTGGAGTAGATGAAGGTTAGAAAGCCTGAAGGTGGAGACATGACCTAAGGCAATATTTTCAGGAATTAAAATCGGTGGGTAAAGTCTTGAACCAGAACGTGGATGGGGATGGAGGTGAAGTGATTAATAAGGGTGTGTTTCAAAGCCTTCTTAGTGTAGCTGGACTCAGAACCAACGCTGCACCCTCTGAGGTAAAGATGAAGCATGGGCTTGGGCTGGGGGTTCCTCTGCCAGTAGTTTTGGGGCATCCAGCCTCACCCTGCTGATTAATGAATATGTAAGTGCTGGCTGTTTCCTCAAGAATCAATCTTTTCTCACCCTTGGGGCTGTACACAGAACTAGCCCAGACCCCATTCTTACACTCCGACTAAGGACTAGCCCTCAAATTATGTGTCACCTGTGGTCCAAAGAAAACCACACTTGCCCAACAGAGTGGGGTCCAGCAGTAAGACAGCTGCAGCTGAGGAACTTCTGCAGCCCACCTGTGTGTGTCCAGAACTAGTCTTGTTTGTTTTTGTTATTTTGGAAGACAGAGTGTTGCTTTGTCACCCTTGGTAGAGTGCAGTGGTGTCATAGCTCACAGCAACCTCAAACTCTTGGGCTCAAGCGATTCTCTTACCTCCCAAGTAGCTGAGACTACAGGCGCCACCACAATGGCCGGCTATTTTTAGAAATGGAGTCTCGCTCTACCTGAAGCTGGTCTTGAACCTGTGACCTCAGGCAATTCACCCACCTCAGCCTCCCGGAGTGCTGAGATTAGTTGGTCTTGCTAAATGATTGCAAGTTTCACTGTGCCACCAACCCTTGCCAACCAGAGCTTAAAGCAGGATATTTACCAGTGAGAGTCACAAAGGGGGATGTTGTTCCTCGGTCCAGCCCAGGCTCAGACCTGAATGTAGGGGTTCAGCCATCAGGGAGCTGATCAGGGAAATCTATCAGTCAGCCATCCATGGAGTGAACTGGTAGGGCAGGCGGGAAACCGAGGGTCTGCCTACTGTGCTCCATTCCGTCCTGTTTCTGGGGAGTCAGTTCCCTCAGACAACTGAAGGAAACCTGGAGAAGGGTCTGCAGACAAGACTGTCTGCAGGGAGAAGGGGGCCTGCAGGAGCAGCCCGGCTCCTCCCTGCACTTTCACCTTCACAGCTGAAGTTGTGAGACTCTGGAGCTCAGAGATTGCTTTCTGGGTTATAAGACTTGAGTTTTAGGAACGACTCCCTGTCTTGAAGGTAACATTTAAGCAACAATTATGTCCTTGGAGTGCTTCTCATGAGACATCTGGATGGTGTGGTTTATTATACGAGAAGAAACTCCCACATAGAACTTACTTCTCGGAAGTCAAGATTTCATTTTTCTTTTGGCTCTTTGCTCTGCACAAAGGCCACCCATTGTCAGCGTGAGCTTTGCCACCCAAAGGGTGGAAATCTCGGAGCTCCTGTGGAGGCGGCTTCCTTGAACCTCTATGAAATATCCCACTGAGGGTGCTTGACTAGATCTGCATCTCTTGCTGCAAATTAAAACCTACATTTCCATTGTCCCAGGAGTTAATTTTGAAAATATGGCTTCCATTTAGAGTTGTTAATTCAGATAAGCATTCTTAAGGCATTTAGGAATGTACTTGATACCAGAAATAGCAGCAACTCTGCATGTGGCTTCAGACAGACGGGAGGAGGGATGCGGTGGGAGTGAACGTGCCCACCACTCACCAGCCTGAAACCGAGGAGGAGCTGGGAGCCCCGGAGGGCGACTTTCGGCTGTGCCACTAACATCATGGGTATCGCGTGTGGCTACCAGGAAATCATGCAGCACCCTTGTATGAATGTTCTTCCAAGGCGTAATGTCGTCAAAAGGCATGTAGTCTTCAGGAAAGCATTAATAACCATTTAGTTTCTTTCAGGATCTGAGGTATCTTTCATTGCTTTGTGTACTTTGGCCTGGGATTTAAATTATCAGGGAATCATAAAATCTTGAGCATTCAGAGCTGGAAAGAATTTAGTGAAGTGTTCTCCGACTAAGAGAGGAAATAGATGTAAACCCCTCACACGGGCCCTGGCACGTTGTAAATCAGCAGTGAATGTTCCTTGCCCCCCATCTCCTCCAACTGAGGAAGAAACTTAAGAGGTTCAGTGAATTTCCTGGGCTGTGTGGTGGGAAGCTGCCAGCCCTGGGCCTGGGATTTCCGTCTTCCCAGCCACCCTGCAGTTTTCCACGGTGCAGATCAGGGCTGGAGAGTGTTAGCTGCTGTGGCCATATTGTTGCCAGATTGTCCTCCTATCCATGTCACCAGCCTCAGCAGCTGGCACATTTAACTTCCAAGATTCTTCTGTAAGTTAGGGACCGCTGAAAATCTGGCAACCATCACCATTTCCCTCTGGCACCCACCACAATTTTCCAACTGGCGCTCTCATGCCTATAAGCAATAATGTGGTTTCCAGAAGTCATGCATTCATTAAAAATGTATAAAATTCTCTTCTTTGTACCAAGTCTTGAGAATAAGTGATAATCCAAACAAAGGTGGCTCCTATCTCCCCAAAGCTTATGCAC